AATAAGGTTTTTCGTATATATAGGAAAAAGAACGATCGGGTGGCTTGATGTAAAGACTGGTAAATAACGGAGGTAAAAGTAAAGGAAAAAAGATCGAGAGGGGATAAATAAAAGCGTACGCGTAAATAGAGTAGGTCACGTGGAGTCTTCTTCAACACTCCCCCAGACGACAAGGGACCTCTAAGTGTCGAGTTTGAGTGCTCGTACGAGCTTTTGATGTGCAACGCGGGGGAGTGGCTTGGTGAAAATGTCGGCGAGGTTTTCTTCGGACGGGATTTGAACAAGCCCAATCTCCCCTTCCGCTACGCGCTCCCTAATGTAATGATGCCGGATGTCGATATGTTTTGTGTGTGCGTGTCCTTTCGTATTAAGGGTGAGGGCGATCGAAGCGGCGTTGTCCCCGTGGAGGATAGCTGGGAATTCGCGCTTCAAGCCTACTTCGGACATGAATGAGTACATCCAAAGCGCTTGTTGTGCAGCGTGTGTGAGAGCCATGTATTCCGCTTCTGTAGTAGATAGGGCGACGGTCGCTTGTCGCTTTGAGCTCCATGATACGGGTCCGCCGGCGACGGTGAAGAGGTATCCAGAAGTGGATCGGCGCGTGTCCGTATCCCCAGCGTAGTCCGCATCGATGAAGCCAATCGGGTCGAGGCTACCTCCCCTATGGTACGTGATCTTGTAAGTGAGGGTTCCCTTGAGGTAAGCGAGTAAGTGGAGCATTGCCTTCCAGTGGGCTGGTCCGGGGTTAGCCTGGAAACGTGATAATACGCTGAGGGCGAAAGCGATGTCGGGACGTGTCGCAACCTGGGCCCACATGCAGGAACCGAGGGCTTCGCGGTATGGCTTATCCTTCATGTAGTGGTGGTCTTCATCCGTTTTGGGGGAGTCAGAGTCAGAGAGGTCGATGCCTGAGGGAAGTGGAGTGGCTTTGGCGTTGCACTGTAGCATGCCGAAGCGTTCTAGGACGCGTCGAAGGTAAGCTTCTTGAGAAAGTGAGATCGTACCCGTGGTCTCATCCCTTTCGACATGTATTCCCAAAATGTACCCAAGCTCCCCCACATCTTTTATCTCAAAACACGCCTCTACTTCTTTCTTCGCCTTCTCTGCCCCTTCCTTTGTGGACGATGCGCCGAATATGTCGTCTGTGTACGTGCTGGTGAGGGTGAATTCGTTTCCAATGACGCGAGAATGTACACAGGGATCTGCAAGTGACTTGTAGTACCCCAAAGACCCATATGCGCTCGACATTTCATTTTGGAAGTCGTATCCACCTTGCATCATCCCATACAAGGTTTTGATGACCCGGAGTACCTTGTTCTCCTCCCCCTGGGCGACAAAACCGGGGGGTTGACGCATGTAGGTAGTGAACTTGTTGGTACTGTATAAGTATGCGCCCACGATGTCGACTTGCCAGATGTGAAGGTCGAGGGCAGCGGCGATGGCTGCGACAATGCGGAATGATTCCAAACGAACCACAGAGGCGTAAGTCTGGTCGTAGTCGAGGCCAGGTATCTGAGTGTATCCTTTGGCCACCAGGCGTGCCTTGCGCCGGATGATTTCCCCTTTGGCGTCGTATTTGTTGGCGTAGACCCACATTGAGTCAATAACATGCGCGTCGTGAGGTTTGTCGACCAGTTCAAAGGCACCCCTGTCGTTCAATGTTTGCCACTCTGTTTCCATCGCTGGTAGCCATAAGTCCGGCTGTTTTATGGCCTCCCAGTAACTCCGTGGTAATTGTGAGTCGGGGAGGGCTGTCATGAGCGCTGTCGTGTCCGTGGGCGTGCCAGTGCCTAGAGTAGCCAGACGTGCAGAGCGGTGAGGTGGTACAGGTACAGGCGTTGTTGGTGTGGTCTGAGGAGTTGTGATGGGCGTCACATTGGGCGTGGACTGAGGGTGGAGAGGTGGATCGGTGATACGTGGGCGTGGGGCAAGTGGTTTAGCAGGCAGGACAATCCCAGTGGCAGATGAGTTTACTTTGGTGGGTACGGGGTCATCGTCGTCGTCGTCGTCGATGACCACAAGAGGGGGCATATCGTCGTAGGAGATAGTGCGATGGCCATGTCCTTCCTCAAAAATGACGTCCCTGCTTTTGATCGTCGTGCCTGATGCCCGATCCCAAAGTTTATAGGTGCCGCGCCCGAAGTACCCTATCAAAACGTACTTGATCGATCGAGGCGCTAGTTTCGACGTGCCTATTTCCTCTGGGATCTTGGCGTATGCCGTGCTCCCAAATGGCTGGAGATGCGACACATCCTGGCGTGTTTTTGTCCACTTTTCAGCAGGGATAATGTTGGGATGGCGAGCAGAGGGGATCAAGTTCCGGGTGTAGATTGTGAAGGCGGCGGCATCAGCCCATAGGGATGGGGGTAGTCCGGAATCTGCGATAAGGCAACGTACACCTTCCATGATAAGTCGCATCCCACGTTCTGCCACCCCATTTTGACCGTGGGCATAGGGAGCGCTAAACTCCACAGTGATGCCGTGTTTCGACGTGTATTCCCTCCACTTCTCGTTGAAGAACTCAGTCCCCATATCCACCCTTATCCGTATTAATGTTTTCCCCGTCTCTCGTTCTGCCTTCACATGGAACTCGGCGAAGGCGCTTAGGGTCACGTCGCTGGATTTTGAGGAGAGGAAATAGCCCACGCGGTAAGAGGACCCTCCATCGTTGAATGCCATCATATACTCTGCTCCCCCAACAGATCGTACTCGAGCTGGTCCCCACAAGTCAATATACACCCGTTCCAGCACATCTTTTTCAGGCTCCACCACTTCGTCATACGGGCGCGTCGTCTGCTTCCCATAGATACAGTCCTCACATTTTCCCTCAAGCCCAGTATCCCCCGTGATCATGAGTCCGTCGACCAGATCTTTCTTGGCCATGTCGACGATCGAACGAACGCCCGCATGTCCGAAACGCCGATGCCAGACTTCGAGGTTTGTGGGTTTATTTAGGGAGCGTGCTACGAGAGCCTGAGTGGTGGAAGGTCGAGGTGCCACATTTAGCAGGTACATCCCGCTATTTCCAGTGCCCCTCATTAGGGTTCTCTTCTGACCTTCGTGGATGTCATAGAATGTCACACCCCCTCCACCAAAAAGTGCCCAACACTTCGCATCATCGAGCTTGCTAATTGATATGAGGTTAGTGATGAGGTCAGGGGTGTGTACTGCATGTGTGAAGGTGATTGTGGTCCTCAATGGTCCGGATATGATGGTCTGGGTGACTGTACCATGCCCGACGATACGGAATTGACCTCCTCTGTTTGCAGATTGGCCTTCGTCAGGCCGAGATAGTGTGTGGTATGTGGAGAATGCCGAGCGGTTGACAAAGCAGTGCTTGTTCGCCGCTGAGTCCGCATAGGTTGGTACTTCTCGTTCGCCTTGCGTCGTCATAACTGTTAACGCATGTGTGATCTTCGAGACGTCCGCCTGGGGCGTCTCTTTGTAGTCAGGTCCCAAATTGGATACGAGTGCGAGGGTCAATTCGGAGGAAGATGAGGCATCTGTGAGGGCCGCTGTTACTGACGAAGTGTTCCCAGTTGGGGTATTGTTTTGGGGTAGAGATGGGTGTGCCCCTCCGCGTTGTCCGAAACCTGCAGGAAATTGTCCCTCCTTTCCCCCACCACGCCAATAGCAGTTGGCAATGGTATGTCCCCGACGTCCACAATTTGTGTTTGTACACTGAAGCTGGCTTCGTGGTCGTCTCGCGTCAGTTTGCAGAGCTGTTACGACCGTAGCGGGGTTGGTGACAGACTTGGAACGGTCGATTCGGTTCCAGTGGATCGTCAAGCGGCTGATGACTTCCGCGGATGATTTTGCGTCATAGAGGGTCCCAACGACGCTGTCCCATGATTCGGGAAGTGACGACAGCATGATCATGCGGAAGTCAGTGTCCGTAATTTTTGCGCCAGCATTGTTTGCAGTTGCCCACTTGGTTCGGAGGTTGGAGATGTGAGTAGGGAAGTCGTTTCCATCAGCAAAGGTGGTGTTACGAAGATCGCGCTGTGCGGTGACGGCGGCGAGGTCGGAGGAAATTTTGTATTGTGAAGTGAGTGACTTCCATGCTTCTGCGGCTGTTCCATCTAATTTAAGTCCGAGCCCGATTGCATTTTTGGTGTTGTAGAGGAGTAGCGCACGCGCCCAAGCGTCACGCATTTCCCATTCGGCCCCAGAAGGGGTAGTGGAATACCATGGGGTAGGGTCATCCGGGAGTGGGATATTCGGTGTGGTCGGCGTGTAGTTCAGGGTGTTGGATTCCTGGTAGGGAGCGGGATTGGCAATGGTTCCCTGTAGATATCCTAGAACACCACGACTGGTGGCCGCAATAATAATAAGCGTCTCGAAAGCAGCGAAGTTTGTACCATCAGACTTTTCCGTGTCTGGAAAAATAGGGGCGTTGGCGTTGGCTGATGACATATTTTGTGGGTGTGTAAAGTGGGCTTTACGAGTCGGATTTTGTGTAGTAAAGCGGGTAGGTGTCTGATAGTTCTTCTTGTTAGAACGCAACAGGGCCCATAACCTGTTGACGTACAAAGAACTCATTAGTGTCTGACGACTTTATATATTAGCTACCTGTTGACGTACAAAGAACTGGGTAGCGTTAGGGTCTAAGTAAGTGAATGTAAATAGGAATAATACTCACCTCAGAGTCAGACACTAATGTGGTGACGACTGAGGTGAGAAGAAATAAGGTTTTTCGTATATATAGGAAAAAGAACGATCGGGTGGCTTGATGTAAAGACTGGTAAATAACGGAGGTAAAAGTAAAGGAAAAAAGATCGAGAGGGGATAAATAAAAGCGTACGCGTAAATAGAGTAGGTCACGTGGAGTCTTCTTCAACACTGATGCTGGAAACCCACCAATCGCTCCTTCGCGCCCAACTACAAAGATAAACTACAACCTGCTCTTCTTTTCGGCTGAAGATCTCACTCGTCGTGATCCCAAGGTGGGCTACCTTATTCTTGGTGATGATATCGCTTGGGAAGACTTCTACACCCACATGAAAATCAAGGCCTGCGATCAACTTTTTCCAAATCAACCTGTTGTTGATGATAATTCCTTTAGTGTGACTTTTTCTATTGCTCGTCATGTTCCAATTGCACTTTCCCTCTCCTCTGCTGCTGACTATGCTCATCTCCTTACCAATGCTTCGAAAATGAAAAAGAATCCCACTGTCAAGGTCTTGTTGACTAGTCGCGCCCCAAACTTGGTACGTGAATCGTGAATTTGTATTTATGTGGTTGCACGATGAATATCATTTGCAGGAGCCCAGAAAAGAAAATATAGCTGCTCCTGCAGCTCCTGCCCAAGACGATGGTCGTCCCGAACTCAAGGGTCCTGCTGAAAAGAAGAAGAAGAGTAGGGTATGTATTGTTCCATCAATGTTTTGATTTATCGGAAGAAGCGACAGCGCTTCCCTTACCATTTGCTAGGTGCCACGAGAGTCAGATATTCTCCCCACCAATTTCACAATCAATGGCAAGATACGCGCTCTCAGAGAACAATGGGAATGCAATGTTACATCCTGTAAATCAGATTTTTGCTTCATACCTGCAGAAGGGCCGCATTTCCCTCTCGGGCACGGTCATTTCGAGAAGTGGGCGGCAGCAATCGTACGTTTCCATCCTGATATTCACATCTATTGCTCATATTTCATTCTAGCTCCGCAGTGACGATTTGGCCAGCATGGAAAAGCTGCCGAATATCCTCCTTTTTGATCCAGACTCATCTCACACAGCTGTATCGAAGTCGCCTCTGTTACAAGCCCGCCTCAATGCGATCAGCAAAGAAAAAGCTCTGCCTCTGCCACAAGCAGCTCTGGTCGTCAATGTCGTGCTACCGAATGACATGTTCAATCCCTACCAACACCCTCGACCACTTGCGCCAGCATCACAAATGACTGGCCTCATTCCTTCTACCCACACCACTGGGCCGCGGATGAGCATGGAGCAGTTTTGCAGCATTTTCGCACTCTCTCAAGACATTTTCCGTTGACTGGACGACAATAAATACTCAGGAACACAGGCATTTGCGCATATGGAGGCTAGCGAGCTACAGGAGTTGGGTTTCAAGCCAGGGGAGATTGTGGACTTGAAGGAAGCAGTGCTGGAGTGGGCGTCAAGTAAAAAATAAATAACATTTCATTGCATTCTATCCCTTCCTGTCGTTACAAAGTGCTTCAATCCATACAGTTCATTCAGAAATACCCAGCATGCAGAAAGTAACCAACAGCATCTGAAGCAGTTACAACCTCCGTGATTTCCATCAAATCAAACAACATCCCGTCGCCTTTGCGTACCAAGAGTGCTTGATGATGACGGAGGAAGGCTTTGACCTTTGAGAAGGCTTCCTTGATGGGATTGAGATCCGGTGAATAGGGCGGTAGAAACTCAATTCGAATGCCTACAGGGCAAAAATGAGCCCTGATCATTGAATAAAAATCAACAGACTTACCATACAGTTCGGCCAGCTCGAGGATTTCTGCTCCGTGATGGATTCGAGCGTTGTCCATCACAAACACACTAAGAACACCAGGGAATGGTGAGGATAATGGCAACTCCCATTGAAAGCAAGGTTAGTGACACATATATATGGAGAAATAACAATACAACACCACTTCGAGCTCCAGGTATTGGAGGAAACGCACATGAGTCATAGAGCCCTTGACAATGGTGTTTGAGACCATCCCATCTAGCGTGAGTAGTCCTTCAACAGAAAAATGTCGCCCGCGAACGAATACACCTTTCTTCACCATGTGCGTGCCTTTCCTCGATCGTCCGCATCGCCGGCTAGAGGTCCTCTCATCCTTTGAATATTCATCAAGAAAGCCGAGTTGTTCAGGTTCATATTGGGCCATGTGTCGAATGAAGTCTGCCTGTAAGTTCTCGTTTCTTTCCGCTGTGATCATCTTCAACTTTTTGGTAGAAACGTTTGCACGAACAAGTTCCCGATGAATGGTGGTATAGTGGGCCGAAATGAACCTGTTCATCTCCAAGAGTGACAGAAGTTCATCCAGGAACCAGTCAGGACGAGCCTTTACAAGCTGTTTCAAGTAGTTGACATCATCAAAGTGAAGAATCCGAGGGCGGCCACGAATACCGAAAGTGTGCTGAACAATGTCGCCAGTTGTGTTCCACAGAGACAGGACACGATAGAACGTGCTTTTGGACATCCTGAGGCAGTCCAGAATGTCGTCAAGAGGTAGATGGTCGCCCTCATAAAGCCTTACAGCCGCTAGCTTGAGATCACGCGATATTTTGCGGAACGGCATGGTGGAGAAGGCAAGATTTGGTGTAACCCTAATCTTAGGTCACCTCTTCTTTTCTTTCCCACAAATCACGTTATTGTCAACCTTTTTGCAAACAGCTGTAACCGTAAACTTAAGTAGTGTACCACATCAATTGTAAACGAGTTCCACATAGTATAAGTTAAGACTGGGCACCAGAATAGCCCAATAATAGCCCTAAGAAACATGTAATAGGTGCTGGATAGTCACCATGAGGCTATATTGTATCTTCGTCAGTTCTGTACCGTTTTCTACCAAATAAGTGTTGATTACCAGCTATTTGATGTCAATTTCAGGGCCTGAAGAGACAAGAGGCATCTTCTGTCATACTTTTGAGATATCTGTCATGCTAAGTTTCATGATTCATCATGAGGGTGTACTCTATCTTTGTGAGTTCTCCATCATCATCCTTCATTAAAGGCTCTTTTACAACATATTCTAGTGTAGTTTAAAGGTCCTGAAGAGACGAGAGGTTTGCATGTCCGCGTTCTGGAGATATCTTCCATTCTCTGTTTTGGGGAGCAAGTACCTTAGGTCAGTCAAGTTTCCATCGTTTCTTATGATTTAGGGCTCGTTTAAAACATATTCTAGTGTTGTTTGAAGGTCCCGAAGAGACGAGAGGTTTGCATGTCCGCGTTCCGGAAATATCTTCCATTTTCTGTTTTGGGGAGCAAGTACCTTAGGTCAGTCAAGTTTCCATCGTTTCTTATGATTTAGGGCTCGTTTAAAACATATTCTAGTGTTGTTTGAAGGTCCCGAAGAGACGAGAGGTTTGCATGTCCGCGTTCCGGAAATATCTTCCATTTTCTGTTTTGGGGAGCAAGTACCTTAGGTCAGTCAAATTTCCATCATTTCTTATGATCTAGGGCTCGTTTAAAACATATTCTAGTGTAGTTTGAAGGTCCTGAAGAGATGAGAGGTTTGCGTGTCCGCGTTCCAGAGATATGTTGCATTTTCTGTTTTGGGGAGTGAGTACCCTAGGTCAGTCAAATTTCCATCATTTCTTATGATCTAGAGCTTGTTTAAAACATATTCTGCCAGCTTGAGCCAGCTTTGGGTCAGCTAAAAGCTGAGCTGAGCCACTTAAGGAAATTTAGCTGGCTTACATAAGCCAGCTCTTGGCTAGCCGAGCCGCAGCAACACTAGGTTGAAGTGGAGTGTACTTTACACTCCCACACACACTCCGGTTGGACTCCACCTGGACTCCATTCAGTCCAGGTGGAGTCTACCTCAAATAGAACCAAATGTATATTTTTTGGATCATCAAGCTGGAGTCCATCTGGAGTCTGCATAGACTCTGTCTGGACTCTCTCAAGGAATGTTGTGGAATTTGAATAACAAACCATGTTTATGTGCAGTTCAATAAAAAACATTGCTTTCAAAACTATATAATACACTACTTCAGTCATCATCCTCCACATTATAATAGCTTCTCCACTGTCATCATCTTCATCATTAATTTCAATGATTTGGTGAGGTTCTTCATGCTGTCCTTGCTTTTGAATAACATTCTGAGTGTGATAGAAAAGCATGGTATGCAAAAACCAATCAAAATTTCCTGTTTTCATTCATTTGAGAATGGACTCAAATCCTCCAAGCCAAGAATTCAATTGTTCACATGCCTAAAATTGAGTCAGTCAAACCAAATTAAAGTTAATAAAAATTCATAATGCATACTTGTGTATTAAATGCCTGTTGAAGATATACGTGTGGCGGCGGTGGTGTTAGTGATGTTGTTGGCAGTGGCGTGCATGGCATGCTGACAGGTGGTCTTGGTGTCGAGGTTGGGGTTGGGGTTTGTGTCCTGCTCATTGTTCACCTTGGTGTTGTCCTGTTGGTTGTCTTGCTTGGTGTGCTGGTTGTCGTTGTTTGACTCCTTGTCTTCGTCATTTGGCTCCTTGTCTTCATCATTTGGCTCCTTGTCTTCGTCGTTTTGTTTCTCATCTTCGTTGGTTTCGGCCTGCTCGGGGTCCTTGTTCTGCTCCTTGGCATTGGTGTCATGGCTCTCATCTTCATTGGGGGGGTGCCTCCTGTTGTCAGTTTTGTTAGCCTGGGGTTTGGTGGCTCGGCGGCGTTGAGTGGCAGGTGCAGAGGTGGCGTTGTCAATGGGTGTGGGTTGGCTGGGTGTGGGGTTAACATGTCGAAGGGAGTGGCGTGGAGGAGCGACGCTGATGTTGCTATCAGCCAGTACGTGCTTGGCACTAAAGAATGAAATGAAAAAAGAAACGAGGGGAGGGGGTCAGGGAATATGCACAGCATTTGCTTGGACCTGGGCAGCGATTTGAGCCTGGCATCCTCTCGATTGCGGTCCTGGGCAGTCTTCCTGTGGTATGTGTTAGTGGTGGTGAGGTGAGGTGAAGATTGTGCCTAATCGATGGCAATCATCGATGACGATTGCCACCCGACAACGGGTGTATGCACTTTTGAGCTGGTGCTTTTCTGTTGTAGTGGTGAGTGGAGGTGATTGGGGGTGGAGATTGTGCCTAATCAATGGCAATCATCGATGACGATTGTCATCGATAATGGGCATACATACTGTGTGGTGGCTCGCCCTCGATTGCCCCCCCCTTCCTCCCCTTCCTTTTGTCTTTGTGGCCTGGTCCTCATGATCAGCCTATTCATCGGCGGCAGCAGGGTCTTCTTGGTTATCGTCCTCGTCCTCATCGTTGTTCTGCTGCCTGCAATGGCTTCGTTTCACTGGTTGCTCGTCCGCGTTTAACACCTGGTGTTTCTGTGACTCAGCTGGGGCGGCCTTCTTCGCTTTGGGAGGCATACGTGGTGGGGTGGGTTGTTGAACGAGGTGCAGAGGCGGTGGGATGTGGTGGGTGACAGTGGGATGTGGTGGGAGGAAGAAAGATGGGTGATGTGGCAATGTGGAGTATCAACAAACAATGTTTGCTCAGCATGCCGAAAGTGCTGAGACCGGGGGTATATGGTGGGTATATTTCCTATGAATATTTAAGCCTTTATGGTCTAGTGGTTTATTGTGCATGTTGCTGCTAACAAATATCTGTCTATAAGGTTGAGTGTTCAAATCCCAGGTATGGCATTCTTTTTTTCTGGTGTTATAATAATAATAATAATAACAGACTCCATCTGGAGTCCAGCTGGTTAAGTATGTGTTCTGAGCTGGAGTCCACTCTGTCCATATGGATCCACCTGGAGGCAGCTGGACTCCAGGTGGACTCCAGGCTCATTCTAGACTAACATTTGGGGGATTACCACTAAAGAAAAAATGATGTATAGACACCCAGAGTCCAGATGGACTCTGGCAGACTCCAGGTGGAGTCCAACTGGAGTATGTGGGGGAGTGTAAAGTCCTTGGCAGAATGATTGTCCAAGGGAGTGAAGTCGAATTCTTCTCCAGAACTGGGATCTTCATGAAAGTTGACTGGCACTGCTCTACAGCCAGCTGCATGAGGAGGTGCTGGCTGCTGTGTCGGTTTTCTGCCTCTACCTCAGGCCATTATGAAGCTGGGTGATTTACAGGGATAGAGATATTGTTTGGTATTTTATACAGAACCATAGCACCTCACATGCTGATAGTGCATGTTTCTATCATGATTAATGTAACAGTTAATTCAATCGAATGTCTCATCTACTAAGGCGTTACAGATAACTAACTTGAGGCTTTACAGCCTAAAATGTCAAACGATGGAGTAAGGCTGACCTTGATCCATAATGAAGAACACAAGAGAAGGCTTCTTTGGCATGATCGATAGACCCATAGCAATCATAGAGTATTCCAATCCCATACCAAGGCTTTGGGTCCACGGATGAATGCACATTATCCACCAGGCATCATGCATCCAGGCAAATTATCAATCATATATCTGGGTGTGTCACCCATTGTGTGTCCAGGCACATTATCCATTGTGTGTCCAGACACATTAATGATTGTGCGTTCAGGCACATCATGTATCTGACCATGTTTCTCTATCCATTGTGTATCCACACACACTAACCAGGATGTTTTATCATGGCTTGTACTTCTTTTCACAGCTCATTCAACTATTCTAACACTATTTACTGGGCATAGCTACAGGGTATCTACCGTGACATAACTACTATAATGTATCTACTATACCTAAGGTGGAAGGAGGGATGGGGAAAGGAAAAGAAATGCAAAGAACGTTCCAGCACTATATATCTGAGGCACTTTAGGGCCGCTTCCTGCCCTTAACATTCCATGCCTGCCCTAAATCAAAGCAGCCCTAAAGTGCCCTGGATATATAGTGCTTCAGCATCCTTCGTACTTCTTTTGCTTTCTTCTCCACTCCCCCATCCCTCCTCGTATGTAGACCCTCCCATATGTAGTTAGCCTCCCATATGTAGACCCCCCCGCCATATGTAAACCCTCTCATATGTTAGTTATGTTTATATGTTATATCGTTGTACTTATATAATTAAAATGTGTTGTCACAAATAAAGCACACAAAGTTCCCCCTCCCATTGATTATGTGTAGAATATTGTCATTGATACAGGCAAATACAACAAGGATAACAGGTATGCCTTCAATGCCTATGTATCTCATTGTAACTAAATTAATAACTTCTTTTATTCAGCCCACGATGGAACACCGCCATGGCTGTCCTTTTCAGCGAACAGCAGTGCCCATGTGATGGAAAGCAACTGGCCCTAAAGTCAATGAAAGATAAACAGCCTGCAAACCATTTCAAGCTTCTTTCCCATCTTTGTGCACCATCTGTGTAGTTTGTAGAGAATATAGCTTTTAGAAATGTTTGTGTGTGCTAGTAACTGAATTCTAGATGACTCTAATGTAATAGAAATCCCAGGAAATTGTCAGGGAAGCAAAATACACTGAGAGACCAATGAAACATAGAAAACTCAATGCAAGTTCTCTCTATTCTTGTGAGATTTCTTAGCAAGCTAATCACGCAATAGACACCGCCAGTTCTTCAATTCCTAGATCTCGAAGCTGAAGTATCAGAGGCAGAAACCAATGATGAGAATGATGGTAATGAAGGTGTGTATCATACATTGTAATAATAGTTAGTACACTTCTAATTCTTTTCAAGGTGATCTTATCAATGACGATGAAGACATTGATGAGTTAATCTTAGGAGATGCACACCACAACCTTCTTCGCAAAGCGTTGATGCCATCCAATGATGACATGTTTTGGGAAAGCTTTCTCAAGTGTGTCACGGCTCATCAACATATTGCAGAAGAAGATGGTCAAGATATTGGAAAGGTGTCTTTATGGGTGGTGCTTGTCAAGGTAACACTAATCCAATCTTTGAAGCTCATGTTTGTAATGACTTTCTACTTAGCCTGGATATGAGGAGCAGATAGTCTGTCAAGTCCATTGGCGGCTCATCGACCCTAGGTTTCCTGTGCAGTTTCAACCCCCAGCGGTCTTTGGCTGGAAAGCTCTACCTGGTAGAGTGTTTTTTGAAGGTGGTTCAGAGGAGATGATTCAACAAGTCTGTAATGGCATACCCAATGTGATGGTCTTGAAGACTTTCCACATACCTGATCCCAACCCCTCCATCTTCAATGTTCCAGATACCTTTCGGCCAAAGCCTCATTCATGGATTTGACTGCACCATGGGATTCACACTTATTCCACCTTACTCATCAACCTCCTTGTGGTACCACGCATTGATTATGACACACCTGCTGCCAAAGTCAAAGGAAGCTGGCTTATTGCATATGAGGACAGAAATGATGAGACAGACAACGAGTTCACAGCGGCCTACAAGCCCGATCGCAAGCTAAATAGAAGAGCTTCAGCACCAGGGCAGCCTTGCCAAGCCTTCTTCAATCCAACACTGGCGAAGCAATGGTTTCGTCGGGCCTTTCAAGAGCACAACAGCTTGTCTTTATTCCGCAGAGTATTGTACAATGCCGACAGATATGCATATTTCTCAGAAATCGACACGGATTGGTACACTGCAGAAGATGTAGTACCAACATTGAGGGAATTTGAACTTTTTAGTACCTGCTTGGACATTCCTCTCAACATCTGACAGCACACCATGGCGAGAATGTCACCCAGGATCCTTTGGATAGGTGGTGGGGTGAAAATCACTCACAGGGATTCGAGGGGGCTTTTGGAACAATCAAGGATATAACAGAAAATGAAGCCATGGTCTTTTTAACGATGGAAGATGTAACAACTACCATACCCTTTTCGTCGCTTCGAAAAGATCTCAAAGTAGGGGATGAAGTCTGCATTCTTTCAGGAGACCATGAAGGTGTTACAGGTTGGGTAGTGAATGGAGATGATGACTATGTGTGTGTCTTTAATGACAGGACCGGTACAGAGGTGAATGTCTTGCTTTATATTATATATATATCTTCTAACATTCCATCATCTTGTAGGTAGAGGTATCCCCCAAGATTGTCCAGTTCTTCACCTCCCCCTTTGTCTTTGGAACAGAGTCCTTGGATTTGAAAGCTCCCTTCACAGATGCGCAAAAGTGTGTCATGAAGGGGGACTCTAACAGTCAGCTTGTAGGAAAACAAGTAATGGTCACCAAGGGGGATTTTAGAGGTTACTGAGGCAGAATAAAAAGCACAGTTGGTGAAAAAAGGGTCTTGGTCGAGCTTGAGGCACTCCTCCACCCACAAATTTTTGACATCAGTTCTCTAAACATCATGCAAGCCCTTTCTCTTATTTTTTGAAATCAATGCTAATTAGCTTCCAGCGCCCACAAAAGGCTTCAGCCCCCCAGGCCTCAAGAGCTTCTCAGTGATTTTACTTACCCGCTTGAACCAGTGCCTCCGCCTGGTACTCTGGCAAGCTTTTTGTTCCCTGGTTACTCCTTGCCAGATCTGCAACCCTCAGTCCCATATCCCACTGCTTTCCTAGCACAGACTCTGGCCATTGCAGGGCCATCTACTCCACTTCCGAACTCAGAAAATATCCTGACGACCCCAGCTTGGAACCCAAGCTCACAAACCCTGCACCATGGCAATGATGGGATTTATGTTTCTGATTCAAAGTCAATAGATACTGACACAATTGTGGCAGCCCCTTCTCCATATTGGCTCAGAGATGGCTGCTTCGCCAACATGAGACTGAGCCTTTGTCTCATCAACACCAAGCCTAATTTCCATAAGGGCGAGCACAGAGATAAATGTGAGGAGTTCAAGGGAGTGGTCAGAGATGTGGTCAAGGTCCAGATAGTTTTCAAAATGTTGGAAGTGCCATTTCCATACTTGATACCTGAAAGGCCAGAGTGCAAATCCCAGGTCATTACCATGTTTACCAGCCCACATAAGGGGTCACAGTTTAGGATCAAGGAGTTTGGTGAAGAGATCTGTGGCTGCTCAATTTTGAAATCAACAATGCTTTTGAGAAAGGTTGATGTCAAAATCACCACTAATCAACTGGTAGTGACCTGAGACACCTGGCAATAAAATACCTTAGAGACTTTTATTGTATATTTTACACATATCTTGATGGCAAGGTGTATACTATGTCACTATTGACCTTATTGCAAGACCCGTGAGGCTTGAGATGACTGAACAAATGAACTTGGACAATCACTATTTATGACCAGCTTAGCCAGCTCCAGCCGGCTTGTTAGCTGGAGCTGGAATTAGCCGAGTTGTGGGAGTCATCACTTGGCAGTTCTGGCTGGGCTTCAGCTAAACTCGGCTCAGCTCCTGGCTTCAGCCGGCTCTGAGCCGGAGCTGTGGCAACACTAGTTTAAACCAGTCTTTTTCATTTTTTAAATATTTACAAAAACATGGCAACTGGCAACTGGACTGACTACAAATGTGGGCAACTGCAACTGGAAAAAGACTGGACCATGGTTCAGTCCAGTTCGGTCCTATGTATATTTTCAGTCCTGTAGACTGGACCTGCGAACACTAGACATAAAGGTCAGATGATGGAGAATAGTTGACCCAACATCATGTGATTAATTGATTGAGGGCCAGGCACTGCGACTTGAACATTTTGAACAAAGTTCGCCCTCTCACCAATTACACTCATGAATATACACCTACTCATATGCTGCACGTCAGGCAGCAAAAATGTTGTAGACATGAGCCTTGCATGTACCCGTGGGCCTGGGTGCAGTTCAAGTTCAATTTCAAGCTTAATGTGATGTAAGTCAAGCCTGAAGTGGTTAAAATGGAAGGACAATATTAATAGTGGAATTTTGCAGGCATGGCAATATTGGGAATAGGTTCTGGTGGCATACAAACTTCAGCAGGGATATGATATTTTGTATGTGCAGGAGGACCTTTGTTGGATTTCCTGTTGGCATTATCTACCATCCCTGTAATTTGCATTATAACCAATCTATGTCCAGTACATAGAATTTTCATGGGTAATAGATGTTTGGTATACTTCTGCATAATGACCAGAAAGTGACTACAAAATGACTACAAAAAGTAATGGTAACTGAAAATGCTAGGACATACTAGGGAAAAAAAAGTTTCTAGTACTAGCATTTCTAGCACCTCTAGTGTTCTCTAATGTTTTCTAGTCTTTCTAGCCTGTCTAGCCAAATGTCATCTTGCTGATGTGCCACCTCTAATTCATTGTTTACTTTGACATCATCCAACCAAGTATCTAGTGCATAACTACACCTTTACCTGACCCCAACACCTGATGGATTCCCTTATCAAGTTACCTCTGATCAAATACCACTCTCTCCCAGAAAGAGAATGAAAGATTGGCATTCCAGCTAGCTGCAGCCTCTATCTCCAACATGTTTTTCTCTAGTTTACAGTATTAGACTTATGATCAAGCACCAAGAGAACTTGCATTTGATAATTCAAGCAGAATCTAAATTGGCAGTTATTTTTGAAAACAGCAGGGGAGCACAAGGGCAGTGAACTGATTAAAAAGATTGATTCCTTTTTTTTTTTATATGCATACTGATCATTTGACCACCCTGCTGTTTTCGAAAGAAAAGGCCTTTTAGGGGACTTGTAAAGACACAGTGATGTGTGGTAAAAAGAAAAATTCTATACCAATGTTGTGCTGGCCCATAACTTGTTGACAGTGGAGCAGGGAGAGAAGACATGCAGGCAATGCAGGTGGTTCAAGCAATAAAAACAATGAGTAATTGTCTATGTAAACATGAGGATAGTAGTGAAAATTGATCTGTCATAGAATTCCTAAGATCTGCATATTTGGATATTGAAGTTGGCATGATAGGACATGAATATCCTACTGTGTCTAGTTGGGTGTGTAACAGTCAGCCCAATCACAGCCAATCTTGGAACCTTGGAAGTTGACAATGGCAGACCCTTTGCAGGAAATTACAATAACAGTGTATGGTGTCGTCAAGGTCAGAAAAGGCGCCATGCATGATTTGTTGATAGAGCCTGTCAATGAGCAATGGCTGCTGTGCACCGCTTGGTGAAAATGATTGCTGATCATGCAGCCTGCTCAGTAGGTCACGTTGCTCAGATTCTGCCATCGTTCGACGTGGCGTCAAGTACCTGACGATGGTTGCGGCGGAAATAAAAAGACCGCCTGCCAGCTGTTCCATGGTCTTCAGTTCCGGCTTGCCTGCAAAGTTCGGAAGCTTGCTCTGCAGGTACTGGGTGATATCCGATCCTACACGCTCAATCGGCACGTCTTGCAGGCGGCAAACTGCCTTGGACAAGAAGGTCTCGCAGAGTTCGACGACACGAGGATCTGGTCGGCTCGTGACGAGAAACTTGAGGCCACGCAGGCGACGTTGGTTGATTGTCTCAAGTAAGCTTTGAAGAAACTCAGACCCTCCATCGTCCTCGATCTCATCCAATGCATCAACGACAATGAGGTAGGGTGGGAGCTCCACATGACGGTGCGATTCGGACTGCTGCCATGGGCCAACAAGGAGGTCCTTCATTTGCTTGGTTAACTTGTCGACCGAATCGAACTTGTCTGCTTCATGCAAGGCGTGGGCGTATGATCCCGACTTCCAAGCAAGCTGGTATACAAGGGTGGGAATAACATGGATCTGTCGTCTTGTCTCCACAAATTGGCGGGAGCAGAGAAAGTTTCCGCCCAAGACGGTGTGCCGTTTAGTATGTTTTGCCTCCTCAAGGTCATCGAAGTGTTTGGCAATGGTATACGCGATGGTCGTCTTGCCAGAACCGGCTTGGCCGGTCAGCCAGAAGACAGGCGGGCTGTCCGGCGAGATATCGTCAGCCCATTCGATTATCCCCTTTAAAATCTCCTCGCGAGTTCCTTCGGTGCATGCTTCACGGGTCACTGTCGTCGCCCCACCCCCCAAGTCAGCGTCGTAGATCGCCTTACGAGCGAGAAGACGGTCAAGTTTCGCGAGCTGAAGGATGATTAGTGCTCATCCCAGTCGTAAAATTTGATGGTTACCTTAATTTCAGATTGTATATCGTACACCTTTCTCTCGGTGGTCCATGCGATGTTAAGCTAAATGAGATGGATGAGCAAGTTTGTAACCTGAGAGACAAAAGCATTGACCTGTAAAGCCTTCGTAGCCTCGTCCTCGTAGATATTGATCTGTAAGAGGTCCAGCGCCATCAGCTTGCTGGGTGAGTATCTAACTGTTCCACTCACAGTGTTAGCTGTGTTGAACGTGCCGCCGATAATGGCGAAATCGTGAGAATTTTGAAAAGCCTGTGCTCCGGTCATTTTGAGTGGTCGAAGGTGAGCGTAAAAGTTCAAGAATGTATGAGGGAAAGAAAGGGGAGCGCCCGTAGGCAGATGACCCACGACTTCCGTGGAAACGAATGGGGAAAACAACAGTGCATTTATCATAGACATCGACTATATCCCACAGTCTCCAGTGCTGGAAATTGCCAATCGGAGGTGGCGTAATCGATAAGCGAATGAAACGATGAAAGTGTTGGACGCCGTGATTAGTCCGACCTCCAACGACGACTGCTGTGCTTGAAGGGTGAGAAAGGGTTCGTGATGGACTGACTCGTTTTCTCCGGACCCTTCTGGGGAGTGCATTCATACCGACACACATTGCGGTCCACAACATAGGAAGGCCAAGAGCGACCTCTCGTCAACTTTTGCAGACAGGCATAAAGACATGGGAGGTTCCGCAGACAGGTGAATGACCGGAGGAAGTCGAGCGGGAACGGAAAAGAGGAATATTTCGAGGAGGTCAACGGGAAACGTTTGTATGATTGGGAGGACATTTGGTATGCTGTTGGATCCCATAGTATCGGTGGTGGGCCACCTACCATAGATTTCGGTACCAACAACAGCCCGAGATACGGAATAAAACTTTACAAAATGCTGAAGCGTATTCATAAGAATTTAAGAGATATCGAAATAGTGGAAGATACCTTACTGTTTGCTCGTTTGGTGCGGGACTGCGAAATCCGAATCTGAGATGAAGGAAGAGTCGAAAAGCGCGAGACGTAGGGATGGTGAGGCTAGGTAGTCTCGTTGAATGGAATTTGAGGCACTATAATCAGTGGTAGGCAGAACTTGAGCCTTCCGACTCCTGTGCTTGAAGCTGGAGTTTGAGCTGACTCGATGTGAATATGTCGATCATCGTCTTGGAATACTCTACTACGAAGTCGTGTTGAGACAAACGGAATCATGATATCGTGCGTACCCATGATTTCAGTGTCGGTAGAAAGTTGGTACTGGCGAATTGACGCGTTCATCACGAGGTGAGTACGTCACGCGAGTGTAACGTCACAACTTCTGTTGATGGTCGTGTCCGAAGCTCATGAATCAGAACAACGACGAGCAACCCAACGCAGGGATGCAACTCCTCGCGTCCGTGCGTTATTTTCTCTCGTCATCTCTGCCACAAGATCGGCAGGACGACCTCCGACAAGTCCTGGACAGCAATGGGGCGACAGCTGCAGCGACGCTGAAAGATGCCACGCACATTATCACGAACTCGCATCGGTTTGAGGGTTCGGGGGAGGTAGATGCTGGGGTACATGTTGTTACGGTTTGTGTTGCATATTTTTGGAGCAGTGAACGTTGTTGACTTGTCTATAGGACCAATGGGTAGATCGGTCGCTTGTGTTGGGAAAAATGCAACAGTGAGTCCTTGCATTTTATGCTTACCAGTGTCTAACGCGTTGTATAGACCTCAATTTTACTCACCCGACCCAGCTATGATTTTTTCTGGGGTAGTAGCCTGCGCAGCCGAAGTATGTCTTACAATTTCAATAAACTCCTCCCGTTCAAACTGACAATGTAACCCAGCTACCAACATCGGACCTCGAAGTCCTCTCCGCCGGTATAACAGCACTCGGTGGACAGTGGCGTACCGGATTGACAAAAGACGTTACGCACCTCTTCGCTATAACGCCCAATTCCCAGAAATACGCCACAGCGTTGCATTTCCAGGAACTCACCCATGTAAAAGTGGTACTTCCCCATTGGTTCGACGATGCTGTACGCTTGGGGATGGGAGGGCTAAGTATCGCGCCGTATGAATGGCCTGACCCCCCACTATTGAAGGGGAAGCATGGGGTGAATTATGGTGCCAAGAAGGACGGAGCACATGATGGGACGGAGCAAAATGAAGTCAAGAAATCGTTGTATGCCACAGCTGTGATGTACACCACTGCCGACGGCTCTTCTCCACCCATTCATCCCCTTTCGCCTGGTGGCATGGATACGGACACCAACACGCACATCAGTAATGTATGGGGCGGCCGCCGTATCTTGCTCAGCCGTACTCTTCGACTGTTTGCAGGTCGGAGAGACGCCGTCGAGGTGGGTATCCGTCGGTGTGGAGGCGAGATTGTACGATACGCTGGAGACGACGAGGAAGATGAGGAAGACCCTGACGAGGAGGTTCAGGAACAAAAGGAGTGGGAGATGGACAGGAAAGAGGCGGATGCACTGAAGGAATGTGATATACTTGTTACGAGGTGGCGGAGTGGGAGGCCTTACGTTCGCGTAAGCTTTTCTTTTCACTTCTTTCGAAAGATAGGGAGTATTGACTTTGAATTGGATTGGCAGGCTTTCCGGAATGGTAAAACGATCGGAACCCTAGCATGGGTGTTCCACGTCCAGTCTACGGGTATCCTTTCCCGACCGCTGGACCAACTCTTGCACTATCCCGTGCCGAAAAAGCCAATCGAGAATTTTTCCCTACACGTACGTAGCTCCTTTACCAAATTGTTACCTCCCCCAGCATATAGACTGTGATGCTAACGACTTTACAGGAAATCACGGTAACGAATTATACAGGCGAAGCCCGGGAATACCTCAAGAAACTCATTACCGCCATGGGTGCCACATTCACCCCAAGTATGACGGGAAAAAATACAGTTCTCATAGCCGCTTTGTACGTGCCCTTTCCCCTTCCCTCCTTTCCCCCTTTTCTTCTTGCTTCCCCTCTTCTCATCTTTCCTCGCTGTTTCCAATCGTTAACTCCACTACTCAGCCTTACAGGAACAAAAGCAACCAAAGCCCTCTCCTGGTCCATCCCTGTAGTGAACCATACCTGGCTCGAAGATTGCTTTGTCCAATGGCGCAACCTCACAGTTGGGGTGGAGAAATACATCGTCTTCCCCCCTGGTGTCGATTTCAGCACGCTCCTTGGTGAGAGGGGTGTGGGTGTGGGACGGGGGATCGAGGAAGAGGTGAAGGAGATGGGGGATGATGATGATGAGTGGGGAGAGCCAGTGCAAGAGGCGGAAGGACCGAGGGGTACGGATGCCAGTATGAGGGAGGTCCAGGGCCTGGTTGATGGGGACGTGCATATGGTGGATAGGGAGAGGCAGGAGCACTATGGGATGGACGTGGACGGTCCTGCTCCCGGCCATGATTTTAGATTCGACGAAGATGAAGATGAAGAGGAGGAGATGCACCGGCCTGTGGTCAAGTCCAAGCTCAACGGCGCTTTATCGTCAGGGAAGAAAGTACCCGCTACTTCATCACCATCAAAGCGTTCTTCTCCACCTGCCAAACCCACTACAAGGAAGAGTCCGGTGAAACTTGTCCCTGTTGCCATTCCTTTGAAAACGCCGACGAAGAATAAGGCCAAGGCGAAAGAGCTCGAGCTCGAGCTTTCTCCTTTGTCGCCTCTCAAGTCTCCTGTTAAGTCTGCGCCTGCTTCGCCTGTCAAAGCCCTACAAGTCAGGTCCAAGCCGGGTCCTTCGTCTAAGAAGGCTTGGAGGTCACACGAGGAGGAGGAAGAAGAAGAAGAGGTGATACCTGCCAAGTCGAAGTCAGGCCCCACAACTAAGAAGAGGACGTCCACGCGAATACACGACAAAGAGCAGCAGGAGGAGGAGGAAGACGAGGTGGAAGTTACCCCTGCCGTTAAGGCTAAGCCAAAGGCGGGTGCATCGTCCAAGTCGAAACCTGGGTCGTCGAAGAGGGCGCCTGCTAGAGCAAACGATGAAGACGATGTGGAGGTGGAGGTGGAGGTTACGACTCCGGCTGTCAAATCGAAGTCAAATTTGAATTCCTCGTCCAAGAAGAAATCTACACGGACGCGGGATGTAGAGGATGAAGAGGAAGAGGAGGATCAGCGAGTTTCTGCTGCTCAGCCGAAGTCGGGTTCTTCGTCTAAGAGGAAACCCGTTCGAGCACAAGATGAAGAAGACGAGGAGGACGAGGTGCAGATTACGCCTGCCCGCAAGAAGGCCTCTCGTGCCGTGGTCAGCGATGTTAGTGACCAAGAGGCATCGGAGGAGGAGGAGATTGTGAAACCAGCGAAGAAGCCAGCAAAGTCTGTGGCCACCACCTCGTCGTCCACGAAGGAGTCTGTGGCTGCCAGTTCGTCTGCGAAGAAGCCTGTGACTGCAACTTCATCTTCAACAAAACCCAAAGCCAATGGAAAAGCGGCGGCGGCGAAGAAAGCTCCTCCGAGTGAAAATACCGATGAGGAGCAGAAAATGGACGTGGATGAGGAGGAGGACGACTTGGATGTAGTTGTCGTTGAGGAGGTCAAGCCAAGGAAGAAGCTTGTTAAGCGGGTCACGCGCGATGCCGAGGAGGGGGATGTCAATGGTAGTGCAAATAACACTTCAAGCATTCTGAAGACAACAAAGGGGGACGCACGTACGCGGGTGAAGAAGAAGAAAGTCGATGAGGGGAAGCCAAAGCCTAAGGCTGCTGAGAGTGATGAAGAACAACAAGCAGAGGAGGAAGAGGAGGAAGAAGTGGCACCGAAGAAGAAAGAAAAACTGAAATCGAAAGCCCCACCACCCAAGAAACCCACCTCAACAAAGAAAACCAAAGTCACTCCCGTCGAATCCAACTCCGATTCTGACGAAGCACCAGTAGGTAAACTGAAGAAACTTGAAGTTCACGCGGACAAAGACTCGGACGCTGATCTCCCAGCTCCACCTCCCAAGCGGAAGGTTGCTGTCAAAGATGGCTTAGCATCAGGGTCAACGACCAAAGGTGCGCATTCACATCCTCGTGAACGTACGCGTACACGTACGCTCTCGCCTTCCCCACCCCCATCCGATTTCAATTCCGATGGCACGGGATGTGTGCTGATGCCTGGTTTGCTTCCTGTAGCGAGGACCACTGCAGTCCCTGAGAAGAATAACGTGAAGACGAAGGAGAAGAACGTGAAGATGAACGGGAAGGCGAAGGCGAAGGAGCCAGTCAGCTCTGCTGAGGAGGAGGAGGAGGAGGAGGAGGAGGAGGAGGAAAGAATAACGACGAAGAAGGCTGCCTTGAAGAGGACGGAGAGCATCAAAGCTGCTGCCAGGGAACGCGGTCACGATTCACCCTCACGCGCATCTACCTCTAAAGCGAAAGCAACTCCGAATGCTGAAGGCTCGACGTCAAAACAACAATCCCCAGTCAAGAAGAAGGGTACACCTGCCACCAGCACCTCTGCAAAAAACAAGCCCCAGCCTAAGGCGAAGAATGGGCCTGTTCCAACGGACGAGTCTACTCCAACAACCTCCATCTCAACTGCACCGCCCAGGCGCAACGCCGCTACTAAGGCAACTCAAAAGCTCCACGATGTCATTATGCCTGACATGAATAGCTTCGAGCAGCAGATGAAGAAGTCACGGAAGAGTGGGGGCGGCGTCACCGGGGTGGAATGGGGTGATAGGGAAATGAGGGAGACGAGCGTCGGGAAGAGGAGGAAAAGGGCGTCTGAAGGGAGGAGCGATCGGATGGATGTTGATGGGGAACAGGAGGAAGAGGAGGAAGACGCAGGCCGAGAGAAGAAGCGCGTCAAACTTTCTGCGGGCCCAGTTGGGAAAGGGAAGGGAAGGGCAGTCAGTTCTGACGAGGAAGAAGAGGAACAGGTGTCGCGCAAGTCTCCTGTCAAGGGCAAAGGGAAGAGTAAACGCAAACAGGCGGAAGATGAAGAGGATGAGGATGCTACACCGCCTGTTACTGTCTCGAAAGGAGCCAAGGGTAAGAAGGCTGAAGAGGTTGACAATGAGTACGTCCAGCTCGACACCTGATGCTCCCCTCCTGACACTTACCCGCAGCCCATCTTCCAAATCATCGTCTAAAAAATCCGTGCGAGTCATGACGACTCAGGTCACTCTCGGTGAAGACGTTATCAAAGTACATCTTTCTCTTCTGTGCTGCGACGCGATCATTGACATTACCTCAGGCTCTGACTAAACTCGGTGTCAAAATGACCACTCGGCCATCTGAGTGCACACATCTACTTGCTGCGCAGCTAGTTCGTACGGAGAAGTTCCTCTGCGCGCTCTCCGGCTCTCCTTTCATACTCACAGACAAGTGGGCTACAGCATCAGCCGCAGCGAAAAAACTTTTTCGTAAGTACCCCTACTATCCCTCACGGTATCTCATCTAATAGTCAATTTACAGCGGAGAAGGACTTCATACTTCGAGACAAAGCTGGGGAGAAGAAGTATAACGTTGATTTGGCCAAGTCCCTCAAGCGGGCGAAAGAGTCTGGAGGAAAGCTTCTCGAGGGGAAGACGTTCTACATTACGCCCAGAGTTAAAATCGACGTCAAACTCCTCCGGAATGTCATAATCGCAAATGGTGGTCAAGTTCGTCCTTTTCCTCTTCCCTCTGTGCTTTTCTTATTCGTTCCTTGTCTTTAGGTCGGCAACAGTGCGCCCACTGCGCGTATCTTGGGTGCCAACCCTGATCGGTATATAATTTCGTGTGTGGAAGATATATCGATCTGGCGACCCATTTCGTCGCAAAACTTCCCGATATATACCCAGGAGCTGGTGTTGAATGGGGCGTTAAGACAGGAGGTCGAGTTTGATAATGATGAGTATAGAGTGGAGGGTTCTTGAAAGGGGCAACAACTCTCCAAGTATCTACTTTGTATTTTATCTAGAGATTTTGCAAGAATGTTGAGATATCAAGACACTTTCATTAGAGTGCTACCACCGCAATTAAGAGGTTCGTAAATTCATGCCCTTCCTTGTTTACCGTAAGAACGGTGCGTACTACTGACGCCAGAATGACAGTCAGACCTCCGAAAGTGTGAAGCTAGTCAAAAAAGTTCCTAATCCGAGAATTTGATGCGGATGCTTGACCCCCAAATAAAAACTTGAAATTTCGTAACAGTGTCGTATAGGCTATGTAAATGCAATCCTCAAAAAAATAAGATTGGACGTGCCAGACCATGGAGGAATAAAAATAGCTGGCACGTTCTGGACCCTCAGGCCTCAATCTTCACAACGCCACGACAATAATTTGCAATGAAATGATATCCCGTAAAAATAAAGAAACGCTGGAGTGCCACCATTACTTACGAGGTTACAAAAAATTTGGCGCTTACCGAGAGGAAGCAAAGAGGAAGACTAATTTTTTGTCTATTTTGACAGTGACAGTGACACGTTATGCCAAGATCACATTCTCACCCAATTCACTCTTCCTCACGCACTGTCTGGACTCTGGAGGCCGAAATTCTCATCCTAAATCATTCAAAGTACAATGTGCATGGCTCAGCCCTTCCTTTTGACCACCCTTGCGATGCCTGCAAAGGCCACAGCCTCAAAAACGGCCTCTCGTCTCCTCTCATCTTTGACAGTGGATTAGATTTGGCGCCGATTCTGATCAACCCTTGTGGGACGGATTTCAGGCACGATTCGTTCAATCCAGTCCCACACAGAGATTACTTCAAATGCAGATCTGGACTTGACATGACCTTATACCTCAAAATGTACTACTTCACTTAAAAAAACAAGGGAACGTCAAAATTGTGCTTTCGTTTTGCAGGGCTCCGCAACACCATGACTCCATAAGATCCTAGAAACCAATATAAATGCAGATCTGGACGTGACCTGACCTTATACCTCAAAAGGAGATCATCGGCGCCTCAGATCGATCCGAGCATTTGCTTGTCCCCCGTTCGGCAAACCTGGGATTTCATCAACCTCAAGTCGGCCCGCGGCCCTCCAAGTTGGAGCAAAAGGCCACCTGAGCAAACTATTGGAGCTAAGCTTGTTTGAGGCCTTCGGTTTACTTTTAGCCCTAACCACGACAAAATGGTTGCTTCTTTGTTGCATGGGCCAACTGGGAGAAAGGTAGAAAAGCTACGATGATTGCGTTGTTCGATACAGAGGCTGTTCCCACCTCCCCACTCCAACCTCCCCCGATTCTTTCCTCCCCCTCCATTTCATTCGATCTTTTCCACATTCGCAACCAGAATGCCCGACTGGAAATCACCCGCAGAGCTGCAGAAGGACGCGGCTGCCTTCATCAAACTCATCCATGTTCTCTTGGGGGTATACGCGTGCGTTTTTTTTGTTTCTATGCATCAACTATATGGCCTGACTGCGACCCCAAGATACGAATGGTTTCTTTCTCTAAAGTTCGATTTCAGTTTCTTGTTGGGAAGGAAGAAATTCCGTTGGCCAATGGTTGTACCTTTCTACACCCTACCCCTCGGACTGTTCTCATCATTGTCCAGATCTTCTACTTCGCGAACAGATATCTCCTTCTTTTCGCGCTGGTAGGGATGTAAGTTGTTGAGTTTTCTCTTTAAGAAAAACTACTTAGCTGACCGCAACCCACTAACTCGCAGCATTATTTCCATGGATGTTACTTCGAAGGTCGATTGCCAGGCCCTGTACACTTTCAATCAAATTGCAGGTAATGCTGCAATGGGTCTAGCAAGCATCAATCTTTCAATACGAACGTACGTTATATCTCTCCATCTTCACGACGTCAAATTAATTCCCATTGAAGGATGGCGATATGGTCGCAAAATAAATACATTGTTGGTCTCCTCGTCCTAATCATTCTCGGTCACTGGTCCTTGATCCTACAAGGTAGATACGTCGCTGCCGAACCCCTCTCTTCTTCTGACGCTCTGGCAGGTATCCAACTGAAAGCAACCTGGGTCGACGGCGTGGGTTGCGTCATCACTCAAACGAACAACACCATCCTCGCCGCGATCTTCATCTACTCGATGTGTTTCGACCTTATCGTCCTCCTGCTCAACACTTACAAGCTCCTCGGAATCAACGATAAGACGGCGAATCTCCTTGGTCGGAGCCGACTCACTCAGATGATATTCGAGGACGGGTTGATCTTCTTCATCATCGCGTGAGTTGATAAAAGTTCGCTCCAGCAATAAACATCTTACCCATCCACCCTTCTTCAGGTTCCTGGCAAACCTTTGCGCAACCGTATTCATGCTCCTTAACCTCAACCAGATCATGACGATCATCTTCAACGTCCCCGCTGTTGTTGCCTCCTCCGTTCGTCACATGTCCACCTACACTATCAATTACTAATATGGACACTCCATCCAGACCGTCGCATGCCGCGCGGTTCGTCGTCTCACAAACTTCACCAACTTAGGTCTGGAAGTCTAGTAGGCCTGATTGCCCTGTCGCTATTACTTTCCTCATACTCAAAAATCTCCCACAGCGGACCGACGGCCTCATCGGCTGGAGTCACTGGTATGGCCAATACAAGAGGTCTGGCCTCACTTCACCACCTCAAAAGTGGTGCTGGTGTGAAGTCTGGTGTACACGTTCAGGTGGGTTCGTTCACTTGCCCCCCCAAAAAAACATTGGCTAATTGTGTTGTTGGATCATACAGATGGAGACGTTCACGCATAACGAGGACACACTGGCGTTCAGAAACAGCAAAGGTCAGGGCAGTGAGACGGACGTTGATCTTGATGTGGAAGCGAAAGGAAGTTTTTGAAATGTTAAATTCTTCATGGGACGGTATGATATTATATTTTTGGTCTTGCTCATTCGACCTTCTTGCTCCTTTCGGAGACGCGCACGGCGCTCCCACCACACTGTGGGAAGTAAAAACACTTAGATTGAGTGAAAACGCCTCAGTAAATTCAGTGACATATACGCTCAGAATGAGTGTTTTCACTCAAAATGAGTGACAGTATTGAGTGATTTAAACCATAATTCTAGTTTGCGAAAATCACTCGAAGCGACATTGTAATCACTCATTTTGATGAGAAACAGACACTCAATTTGATAAGAAATTGACACTCAATTTGACGAGAGGCTGTCACTCCAATCCACGATAGATTGTCATTCAATTTCGTGAAAAAAAGTACTCATTTTCATAACAAAGTTGCACTCAAATTTATGTTCAGCTGTCACTCAATTTTATGTGCGAAAAACATTTGGATTTATGGACTACTGGTTACAATATGTACGGATGATGGCCGTACATATGAGTACATATAAGCGCAGTCATTACTGCAGCGTGAGTAGGTAAGATTTTGAAGCAGGGCTCGAAAATAGCAATTCCCGTCGCGAAAGAATGTGAGAGCAAAATTGAGAAGCAGGAGCGAATTCCTAAGAACAGGGGAAAGAGTGAGGGCAGCGTGTGAGAAGTGAGTGGAGTTCAAAGCGTATATGCGGAAGCCGCGAGTGAGAGAGCGAAAAAGATCGTGGGCGCAAAGACCATCATACGGCCTACATTCAACACAATTAGAAACATATGGGTACGATGACCCCAGCCAATACCTTCGAGCGTGTTTTGGAGCGGAGAGTACGAGTTGGTTCGTCCTTCGGGGTGGGTAGAGAGGGCTGAGGGGGGTATTACAATGTTAGCGGCCACACTGACGCTACTTCCGATCACTGACCGATTTTAGCGTCTCGATCTGGCGTGGCCGTTGCTTTTTATCCCTTATTTTTGGTGGGACGACGGGCTAGAGTTGACAATAAATAGATGTTACAAAGGAAATTTGGACGACTTACATCACAATCCATGTGTTCCAGTGCCGGTTGACACCTGGCGCGCCTCTCGTTGGGCCCCCCTTCGGGAGCGTGACCGATTTCTTCAGAGCGGTGGGGTGATGTGGCAGATATGCTCGGGACTCGTGCTTTCGCGTTGCTCGGGGATGGACTCTTCAGTGAAATATCTTGGTGTTTAGACTGAAACAATAAGTTATGCGAGAAATCTTATGTTAAAAAACGAAACTCACATTTTCTCTTGGCCTCTCTAACTTTATGTAATCCTGTCACAATCGTCAGATGAGTTTTGAGCGAGGATGAAAACGCTTATGCGAGGAAAGAGTCTTTATCCAAAAACACCGATAATTTCTCATTTGCCTCTTCAATAATGGTTGCGTCCTTGTTGTCATGCCTTGGCCAGGGAAACACGATCCTACCATACTCAGCGCTCGACCACAACATACGGCGATAGCAGCCAAGGAATTGTGGTTTATCGATGTCACCGTCGTGGTAATCCTGAGCCATTAGGAAAGTTGCCACATGGGGAATGACGATAAAATCTAGAAACTCCCGTGGTTCCAAAGGAGCGAACAGCTCTGGACGATATATACGACACGCTGCAGTAAGCGTGTTCATGATGACAAATTCGCCCATGCCGCCGAAACTGAAGCGAATGTAATCAACAAGAACAGATAGGAAGGAGAGAGAAACCTACTATCCCACATTTTTGAGGTAAGCGACTCGCTTTTGTATTGAAAGGTCTCTCCGAAGGGCGTCGATGTCCGGAACCTTCTCACAAAAATCTGTCCAAGCTAGGGATGACGTTATCTGCTGCCGGTTACCAACAAATCGGTTAAGGTGTGTATTTATTATCAGTAGAACGCGGCTTCGCAAATCAAGAAAGTCGATGACTGAAGGCCAACCTTGATCCTGACCATCCATCTTGACGTTTCCAGCGCGAATCTCCGTGCATATCGCATCCTTCACTTCTGTCAGATGCTCCCCATTATCGAATGGCTCGGAAACACATCTGAGCTCGTTGTAGGTATGAATGAGGTCCGTGAGCGCGTCGCTAGGCTCAACAGGCATGTCTTCATCACATCCCACCACGGGACATTGATTTATGAGACTGAGGTTATCACGGAAGGTCGAAATTTCATTGGCGTTGGTCAGCTCCGAGAAAGCTCGGACACTTTTACCCTGAAAGATCTTCAGATGAAGTGAACGAGCTCGCCTACACACTCACCTTCGAACGGGTAGCCAGATTATCTGTATGATCAATTGCGGTGAGGTCCTAGTAAGATTTGAGAGAGCGCCAGCCTTAGGGTATTTGGGCAAGCGCACCTGGTGTGAACCGGCCTTACCCTTGGCATGAACAAGATCTGTGCGTCGGCGGGGTGAATTCTCTCCTGCCAAAGAGACTGATCTACGACGCTAGAGGGTACCGTAAGTTTCTAAATCTGTGAACAGTCATCAATTTACCTGTGGAGAGCGAGGCTCTGGGGCGTTCTCGAAAAAAATGTCCTCGAAAAACCGCCTGAAGTCAGGTTTGACCCTAACATATAGATGTGCGTCCACTCACTTGTTCGCCATCTTCAGAATCTGACACTATGATATTTTTCTGCACAACCGGTAATATGAAGGATGCCGCAGAAAGTCGTTTATATTCTCACCTTGGCTTTAATTTTTTTCGCGCGCTTCGTTGGGACACTTGATTTCTTGAGAAACATCAGCTATCATCGTAAGTGATATTTGGATGTTACCTCGACAGCGCGCTTGTCCGATTTCTTCTTTGCAGGTTCGGCATCTCGGATTCGAGCCTGCCGTCAATCAAGAGTGTGAGATGTATGCGAGAATTGAAACAAACGGGTTTTGGGAGTGATTTGTCGGTCTTCTTTTGTGATTCTACAACCCGTTGCCTCTAAGGGACGTGTTTGAAATAGAGATAAATGCGCATATATAACCATAGGTACATACCTTTCCCCTACTGGGCGACGGTCCCTTCCTTTTCCGCTTGCCTTTGGCCAAATCCTATGAGAAATATTTGTCAGGAGGTAAAAGCGTTGATATATGCGTCAAAGATTTCACCTCATGATCGGTGTCATACCCTTTATGCAGCTCATCCTCCCCTGCGCTGTCCTCTTCGTCCTCCTGGTCCTCCCCTTCCTCTTCATCAGAAGAGTTTTCGGACGCATCCCTTCGCCGCTTTCGTGAATCGGCTTTCGCGTCCTTGCGCTCTGCCTCTATGTCCTGCTTGTTGCGCGAAGATTTGTTTGAGAGATATCGGGCCAGGATATCACGAATGGGCCATCCATCTTGAAACTGATGGTAGAAATTAATCTCCGCTTGTATCTGCAAATGTGTCAGACCGCCGTATGGAAATAATGGTGATGATCAACTTACTAGGAGAACAACCTTCTCCACGACTGGCTTGCGTTGCTTTGACAATGTCACTCTACTCTCGAAGTACTTTTGGGCTATTGTTCGGATAATTCTCTGACTGCACGCATTAGACACAGAAGTTAGGATCCAAGGAAATACGCACAAGGTGCCGATTCCATCTATTCCTACTCAAGCCAACTTCTATGCGTGTAGAGTATTCCCTTCCAGCCCTTCCCTGAGGTTTTTGTATGAGATTTTCGGTCGGTGCAAGCTGTGGCTTCTCGAGGACCCTGGCGCTTTGCACTTCGCAGGAGCAGTTAACTTCACATGATTGGGCATGTGAATTCTGCACATACCTCGAGCTTGTCGCTTGAGACGCTTGTTCTCAGCTTCGAGCGCTGCAAGACGCTCCGCATCACTGAGTTTCTTGGAAGGCATGAGAGTTAGTAGAAGACCATGAGCGCTGAGCTTCAGAGAAATGGTAGCACGTGATGCAAACTTTGAAAAACAACACGAACAAACTCGCATACGCGTGTTTCCTCATCTCGAAAAGAGATTGTAAAAAGTTGTGATCATAACAGTCATATCATAACAGTCATAAGTATAGATCTCATTCCCAAAAGTATCTCTAACCGAGGCCCCAAATCGACCGTGGCGGGTGCAAAACATCTGAGCCTACGTCGCTACTAGAGAGTGCTGTACCTTGGACAGCCTTGCTCGTCCGGAAGAACGATACTCGTTTGTTTGAATAATGGAAAAGAACTGGTTTTGGGTGACCGATTCTTTGGCATTGAAGGAGGGAAGGACGCCCTCATGGGGCTTGGCTGAGCTCCAGGCGGTGCAAACTGGAGTGGTTTGGAAAAGAATCCGGGGAGATTGAAGCTCGGGCGTCCGCGGGCGACGTAAATGGTCAGAACAACAGTTAGATATGCATAAAGAAAGTGCGCCTGAGAGAGTGGAGATACTATAGCAAGAATGGAGGGCAGAAAGGTAGAGGATGTGACCAGATGCAGGCTTCCAAGTGGACATCGTCAACAAAGGACCTGTAATGGCGCAAGATAGACTTACAAAAAGAAGTCCGCATTGAAACGCTCCGTTCCACGCCAGATTGTGTGAGAGGAGGATATGATCGAGCCGAAAAGGGTGTACGGTAGCCGGAAGGAAAGAAAGAGTAGTCATAAGGAAGACAGAGATGATACACTAATTCTCGATCGAGGGTTAAACGTTAAAGGGTCACGATCAAAGCTTGTATTTTAAACAAGTTACAACAATCAATAAAGCGCTGAGCGATTGGATGATCAAGTATCCTCCACCCATAATGTCGCTATCTGGGAGCCCTATCGCGAAGCAAGCCAAGTATCGGAAAAGGAACGAAACAAAGAAACATTGTCATTGCACTCCGGAGTGCACTTCTTTCATTGGTCGTGCGCAGCGTCTTCGACACTACAGCGTTGCAGATGAGAGATATATAGCGTCTTCTACAGGAGATTCTGATTCAGCGGAATCTTCTGATCAAGCTGACATTTTACCCTCTCCTGAGCATCCCTTGGACAACACTTTGGGATCATATGAGCTGCGAGTTGACGAAAGTGATGCTGATGATGAGGATGAGATTTTTGGCGGAGAGGTCGGGTCTGCAAACAATGCCGTCGAAAGCCCGGAATATGGCAGTGACTCAGAGGGTTACCATGACACAAGCGATTCCGAAGTCAGTGATGATTTAGTAGATCATCATGATTCAGGAAGTGTGGGTTCAATCTCGGGTCTCGAATTTGAATCTTTTTTAACACCTGATTTCGATATCGAGGGGAGTGGAACGACCGAAGAGCTGATTGAAGATTTGGAAGGCCTCCTAGGTCCTCAATCAGAGGCTATTATGTATGATCTCAGTGCGTAATTCAAAGAAAGTTAATTCTCTTGTTAACTTTGGAGTGATAGGAAATGAAATTTTGACGGACAAAGATCGCGATAACATCAGAGCTTTCAAATTGCGGATGATGAGTGGGATGGAGCGGCAAACATTCAATCAAATGCGACATTTATTTCGTCACAAGCTAGAAATTAGCTCAGAATGGATAATCCTGCGACGTATGGGTATCCTCTCCGAAATTGAGCCAATCTGGTATGATTGTTGCATCAATTCTTGCATCGCATTCACAGGGGGGTATGCAAATCACACCCACTGCCCTCATTGCCAGGAAGCGAGGATTTCTAACGGAAAGCCTCGGAGAGCATTTGGCTACCTCCCAATCATTCCCCGGCTGCAAGGCTTTTTTCAAAATTCAAAACTAGTCGAGACGATGCGGTATCGAGCCGATTATCAACATGACCCAAACTCAATATCAGATGTCTTTGACTCTCTCGCCTACCGTTCCCTTTGTCAAACGACAGTGACTGTTGATGGAAAGAAACTGGGTCATCGGTACTTCTCAACGAGCGAGGATATTGCCTTGTCAGTTTGCACAGATGCGTTCCTACTTTTCAAACGACATCGAAGCGGCCCGTCGGGCACTCCCATTCTCGTCAAGAACTATAATCTCCCATCAGAAATACGAACTCATCTGGAGTATTTAATCTGTCTGGGACTTGTACCTGGACCGAAGCAGCCAAAGGAGATAGAAACATTCACTGCACCATTCGATGATGAATGTGCTCGACTTGCGCTTGGAGTTCTAACCTTCAACGCGCTGACTAGAAAACATTTTCATTTGCACGCTTACAAGCTCTTTGATCTGGGGGATATCATTGCAATCGAAAAAATGATGGGTTTGACAGGTCACAATGGATTCTGCCCTTGCCGCTCCTGCGAAATTACAGGTGTTCGAGATGTCACAAACAGAAAAACCAACTACTACGTTCCACTGACAGCACCGGTGACAAAGGGCAAACCTCATAAAACTTGGGATCCAAAAAATCTTCCCATGCGTTCACATGAGAGCTTTTTCGAAGTTGTCAAAAAAATCGATGCGGCTAAATCTAAAGCGCAGGTAAAACGGATTGCCAAGGAGACTGGTATCAAGAAACTTCCAGCAATCAGGCGAGTGGGCTCGAGTCACTTTGGGCGGTCTGCACCTTGGGAAGGTTTGCACCTATTCTCGGAGAACGTGATTCCAGCCCTTGTAAAATTATGGACTGGAAAGTTCAAAGGGCTGGATGTTGGCTCTGAGGACTACGAAGTTGCGACTCACATATGGGAGGAGATTGGACGCGAAACAGCAGAGGCTGTGAAACACATTCCAGCCAATTTTGTTCGTGTTCTTCGGAATATTGCAATGGATCAGTCGCACTTCACCGCAGAATCTTGGACATTTTGGTTCATTTATATTGCTCCAATTGTTCTTAACGGAAGGTTTCAGCACCCAAAATACTACCGCCATGCCTGTGACCTTGCAGACATCATCAAGATGTGCCTCAAATTTACCATTACACACGCTGAAATCAATGAGTTGGAAGACAAGATTATTGAATGGGTAAGGCAATATGAAAGGTATATTGCCCTTTTTTTCCGGATGCACATTTTAAGATGTGGATGCACAGATTCTATTATCAGTATAAAGAAGAAAGACTTCCAGTCTGCATCCTCAGTATCCATGGGCTGCTCCATGTTCCTGACAATATTCGGTTCTGTGGCCCAATGTGGACGACATGGACATACTACATGGAACGCTATTGTGGGAATCTTCAAAAGAACCTTCAATCGAGGCGTCACCCTTGGAAGAATCTAACAAATAGAATTCTTCATACAGCATATCTTGACCAGCTTTCTTCACGTTACGATCTCCAGGAAGAGCTATCCTCAAGTCCGAATTCTCGGGATGCAAATTCACTGAGTAGATTTGAGCATAAGTACGTTGACTGTAAGAATTTATTTTATCACCAATTTTTATGAGTTTTAAATTGAAAAACAGATGAAATGAGCATCCTTGGTGCCCCCTATGATAAGAAGTACAGCCCAAGCCATACCATTCGGCAGAAGATTGTGGGATATTTTTCAACCATGCTTCCCTCAAAATCAAGAAAAACAATAAATTCTGCTCTGCCGAAAATTATGCCAGCTTGGGGAAGGGTTAGGATTTCTAATGGTGGAGACTCCATTAGATGTGCAAAAATAAGGTCAACAGGTCGTGATTCCTCATATGTCCGGGTAAGTCTGGATTCTACGCGAATGATTGTTGAATTTATTTCGGTTTTTTCTTTTTTGATAGTATACCATCTCAATCAAGACGCCTGCCGGTGAATGGGTCAGAGAAATCTTTTATGGACGTTTGGAGGATATCCTCGTCTGCTCCCTACCTGACACTAATTTCTGGGGATCTGAACTCAGAGGTACAACACGTCTCCTTGCTCTCATAACACCATGTGTCACCGGAGGAAAGGATGCAGGAATTGAACTCACCCTCTATCACCGCACTACGACAGCTATCGTTACTGACCTTCGGGTAATATCAGCTGTGGTGGGGAGAGTTAAGACCCGCGGAAAATGGGGAATTATTGACAGAACTGGAGAGGATATTCAAGCAGAGTTTTTTGGTAGTGTAGACGGGAGTGAGAGTGAAGAAGATTGACTAGGTGGCGTAGATTAGGTATGGGATGAATTATCAAGACATATTCCCGATGTCCAATCATTTAGTTACTTTGTCAACAGGGTCTAGAATATATTTTCTACATGTTTAAATCGTTTTCGATCAGTTGAGAAAAGATCCATGAATGCGACGAACTGACTACTGCGTGATGCGATCTGCGAGCGCTCTAACCCAGACAGCTGGACCGATTGCACCCAATCTCCCTTGAAGATGACTCTACCAGGGGCAATGGGAAGATCTTCATTTCGTCAAGTCTTACTGAGAATACATAAAAAGTTTATTACAATCCTGCCACCCTCTTCTCAATGACATCCACTGTAGCGACGGTGCTACCAAGCCGCCCAATCTTCTTCATAATTCTACACATGAGGATACGTCATCTTCACATAGTGCGCTTTCAAACAACACGCACCTTTCCGGGACGCGTGTTTCACTCAAGATTTGGAGCCGCGAACGGTCCAATTACCCTGCGACTTGCAGCACGAGCCCCTTGACCAAGCCGGATTCACTGTTGGGATCATATGTGAATTCACTGTCGGCTGATGTCGAGGTAGCGTTCTTTGTAGACGGTGCAAGCGATAGCCGGCCATGGCGTCTTGAGGACCAGAACACCTTCGATGTTATTACCTTCTGATTCCTTGCCCTTAACGGGATCAAGAATGGTAGGCTCAATACCGAAGGAGGGGACAGTCACAGAGCCTGGCTTTGTCTCGATAGCACCAGGAAGCGGTGTCGCGACAATTGACCCAGTCTCCGTTTGCCTGTGAGTGTTCAGTGTCAGCGGACACCACGGAATGCGTCCAACTCACCAGAAGGTATCCACAACCGTGCATTCCCTCTTACCGACATGTTCGTTGTGCCATGTTGATGGCTACGGTTCCAAGGAGGGGCAGGCTGTTGAGGTCGTGGATTTCGACGTGGTGAGCGCCAAGTCGTTGCAGAAGACGGATAGCAATGCGGGCAGAGTAGCCAGCGCAAAGCCAGCGGATACAGGGGAGCGGACGGCGCCAATGCACAGGCGTGCGAGGAAGATTTTGTCTTCCATGTCATAGGATGGTCCTAGCCCGCAAGTCCTAGTACTCTCTCGCGTTGAACACAGCGAGGAGAAGTAACGGAAAATGCGAGGCTGCCAGCTCGTTATTATGGTCCAACAGCGCAGTTGCGTATGTTTATATGCGATCACATGTGACATGACATTGTCACGGAGGTCACCCACATGTATAGAGTAGCTCTGTCATTGATTTAAGTATGAGTGAAAAAACCCCTTGTTATGAGTGAAAAAATCACTGAGTGGAAAAATCACGACTTATGAGTGATCTGGAAATAAAGGTCAAAATCACTCATTTAAAATTCCTTGAATTTGAGTGACACAATCACTCCCTACACTGGTTTGAGTGACCATGTCACTCAATCGAATTGCTTTTACTTCCCACAGTGACCAGAGGTGGATAGTTTTGATACTGTAGCGTAGTAAGTGGTAAATGTATGCTGGATTTGTTTTATAATTAGGTCGAGTTTAAACTAAGTTTACTCAAGTCCAATGAAAGCCGACCAGGGCTAGTTTTGCACGCGCACAATCACAGTCGCGTGTCCGCTGACACGCGACTAAGAGCCGCTGCTCACCAACAAGAGCCGCTGCTTGACTTACGTCAATCCACGCTTGGATTGACACTCATTTATTTTTAGATTCTCCTCTCATGGCTGAGGAGTGGGATCAGACGACCCCTTTCCACAAGGCTCTCGTCTCAACATCTCACTCCCTCAGCCAGGTATGTATCCAACTCGTTATTGAAGGCTATCGTGATAACAGATTGCTTCGTCTACGCAGTCTTCTACTAGACTACAGTTGTCTTTTCGTCAGCTTCTGGCTATTCCTTCGCATTTACATCTAAGCAACCGCCTCTGCAAACATCCAATAGCCAAGGCGTCATTGGATGTAAATACTTAGATCTACCACCTGCCATAAATATTATTTAACCATCTTGGAAGCGTGAGAAAACATCTTCCATGTAAACACACGCAATCAGACGCAATCTTCTTCATCATTTTGTGCACTTGACGACGATTGCCATGCGCCAGCAGGGCAGAGAAATTTCGCGGACTCTGGGAAAGCTGACGACCAAAGACATATTCCTTCCTCTTATCTAGAAAACGCCGTCCAGTGACGAAGGGGAATTTCTACAGATTTGACGTGTGGTCTCATCTGACGAGAGAAGATTCCGAGCGCTCATACTTACATAATTGTAGATGTTCTGTCACACAATGCGCTTCTGCGTTCACCTGACCACAATCATCTTTCCCAGAAGCCAATGCTTGATAGACGCCCGCCTCACTTCCTGTTCCTTCCTCTTCGTGACAACGGGCAGTCTCCAGGGAAGGTCGAACCATGGGTGCTGCACCATCCACGCCTGCAACACCTGCAACGACTACAGTTCCAACGTCTCCAGTAGACAAAGTAAGTGTGGTCCATTATAGCGCAGCAGTCTAACAACTTGGGGGCTACAGACTCGGACACCAGTGGAAGCGCCTGCAAAGGATGGTAAAGGAGGAGTGAGTACATTGTCGATTCAAGGCAAAGTTTCATTCTCATCACCTGAGGGTCGTAGGCAGGTTCCGAGGTGCCCAACACCTTCAGACCTCGTTATCGTACGTCAAAGGGATTGACTCCAGGACGTTCTTCACTCTCATCCGTGTTCATACAGTTTACTATCGCCTTTACCAAGCAGACGGCGCAGTTGAATCAAGAAGCCCCGCCCACTTCAATGACCGTTTCCTTGGCCGTATCTTATCCAAAGCCGTCACACCTCCCCATACCGCTGCGTCTCTCAAGAATTACATATGCAAGATTGAAGGATTTTCGGGAGCGAACATATACTCATCGCTTACAAGCCCAACCGCCCTGAATGATGGCGCTCGCATTGCTATCATGAGCTATTCCGGACCAGGTTCGTACGAGAAAGAGCCCATGTTTTTACTTGTCAAGAGTGCCGAGAGACGGACATCCAGTGGCTTTCCGCCACCTTCGGTGACCCTCGAGAATCCGGCCAATTCGCAGTACAGTGAAGTGTCTTCTGCTGCCGTTCCGTGCTTTCTAGGCGCTTATTACCCTTTGTTGCAGTCCACTATCGTTTCTATAATCAAGACGGCGAGACTCCTTCGAAAGCATGCTTTCACGAAGAAGATACAGCTTTAGGGCGCATCCTTGCACTGTCCATTGCGCCCCCTTTCAACGCTGCCTCATTGAGACGCCGGCTTGTTAGAGCAGAAGGCATCAATAACAACAGCAAGTCATTGCAGCTGTTCGAGAATATAAGCAGTGACGAGCCCATGAACGATGGCGACGATATACCTTTACTCACCGATCGGTATCCAGGATACACCGTGGATGAACCGATGGCCTTCATTATTCGCGATTCAAGTTCCCTGATTCCCGAGTCCCCAGAAGTACCGACTGACCAGTATCCGGGGTACACAGCGGACGATGCAGAACCGATGGAGCCACCAAAAGTACTAACTCGTTTCTTGTTTAGGTTTAAAGCTGTTTCATCATTTGGTGGGTCCCACACTGGTTGTATACATTGTACAATTTACGTTTATTCTCCCAGAATCTCCTCAAGATCATCCCACTTGGTTAAGGGTTGTCAAGGGCGAAATTTTGACCTCGGACGGCGTCGAGATAAAGATGGTCGATTTTAGAAAGAGTAAGCCGTCGCACAACGTTAAAGTAGTTTCTAATTCTGATCGAAGGGACATTCAACGGTTACATGATGAGAAACTCAGCTGGTGAAGAGGGATGTGAGTGTCTGTAAAATCCTCGTCGTGCCAGCAGAATGTTGACAGGCTTTTCCTCTCCTTCTAGTCGTGTTGCACTGTGAGTATTTATCCAATTTATACCATATCATGAAGGTAATTTAGGGCGTTTCGACAGCCGTGATCGTATATTTATGTTGACTTTACGTGGCTTTTGTTCAACTTGAAGCGCCAAGAATCTTTGACGTCAAAGGGTGTTCGGACAGAATCCGCTTAAGCCGCGAGCGCCGCTATCCAAAGGGCTAGTTATCCCGCCGACTACTCTTGAAGCGGGTCTGGAAGTCTGCCAATAATAAACCATGTTCTTAAGTGTACCATGTATCATGAACGTCTTCAAAACGTCAAAGCTTCACTAACTAACCGGGTATACTACGGCATTCTATTGCCGGTGCTCTCTTCAATACAACGTCTTTTCTTCTTGACCATCGTCACCACCATCTTCTGCTCCTCATTTTTCTTTTGTTCTTTCGTCCGCCTCCCCAGGGCTAATCGGAATGCTCTACGGCTGCTACGGTGCAGGTATGACAGGCACACGAAACTCTTGATGATAAGTAAGGTATCAGGCTGGGCTATCGCTTCACACCACCGGTCTTTGAAGTATGTTTCCTGTCTCTTGAATGCTGTTCCCTGACATTATTGACCATCCCATTTTAATTTTATAATATTTATTTGCTGTATCCTTGCGCACTGTGGCGCGCTAATTTTTACGGGTGCCAATGCTTTATCTCCATCACCTGGATGCGCGCATATACAGTTTGTCGGGTGCTCTGGCGCTTGGGACAGCTTTTAGTGGTTGGCGCATTTCCGAGCTGCAGCGTACTACTCCAACAGACTCCAACGCTTCATGTATAGCTCTGAAAATTCGACGAGGGATACCTCTTGCCATGCGATATCTAGCAAAAGGTGAGCGTCATCGTCTCGCTTGCCTCTTTTGCATGCACGCATTGTCAGTTGCATTGACCATGGTCAACCTTCAACGGCGCCGACTGATAACTTACCTCAAGAACTTTCCTTGATGACAGACGACTTTTGCGCTCAAAATATAGACAAGGATACAGATATGATGTAGACGATAACATTGGGGTAACACAGAAACAAAGGCCTAAGCAATACGGACGTTGTGGTCATTCGGGAATCGGATGGGATACAGAACAGAGGCGAATCGGATAAAAACGTGAGTGGGGCGTAATCAAGATGACGAGGACAAGAAGAACAGTTACAAAAAGAAATTCAAGATACAGAGAAGACGAGATACTTTGAAATCATTCCGGGGTAGTTGCAGACGAGAGGTCAGGTCATGACTCATGAGACAACAGGACAGAAGCAATGACAGCGAGGTATTATTCAACTCGTCAGAATTACTGGCCTGTGTAATTCCAAGGTGGCGTTAGTCCTTGATCATTGTAGTATTCTGGCAGAGGTGGACCATAGTATTGTGCTGGGTGTCCCGATCCTTGGACAAATTGTGCCGGAGATTGAGCGTAACCCGCCGGTCCTTGCACATGGCTGTACGCCGATCCTTGAACAGGTTGTGGTGGAGCGTTATTGAATCCAGGTTGTGGTGGAGCTCCGACGTTATTGAATCCTGATTGTGTGTTAACATAGTAGTTAGGCGCCACAGGACCAGCATAGGCCCAAGCCTGAGACGGACTTGCGACTTGGAGCGTAGCATCATAGGCAGGGGGACGGACTCGATGATAAGGCCGCGAACCGGCAGGTCGAGTGAATGTAATACCCTCCCGCTCAGGACTGCCCCGGGAGGGCATATCTTCATAAGACTCGTACGGACCTCTTGGAACGGGAAGGTTGGGAAATTGGCGAGGCGGCGATTGCGAAGGGCTTCTGTTAGTTATTTCCGATTGCTGTGCCGTTCGTGAAAAAGCATCATGAGGGGGCACTAGCACCTCAACAATCCTGATGACCTACCAGACCAAGATACAGGTAGTGTTTCAGTCGCGACCGCAGGCGTTGTGGATGAATTGGAGTTCTCTCATGTTCTGCGAGCAAATATTCCGACGCCTCACTCATAAGCATCCTTTTCTTGATGGAGTTGCAACGACTCCACAAAGATGCATAATTGTGGCCGGGTGAGCTGCATACGCAGAGGGGTAATGCATCAGGCAACGTGGGACGTATTATTCATTGAAACGTACTTTAACTCATTGACGGCATCATCCATGGCCCTGTTAATGTCGGCTTGAGGAATGGGCGTTGAGGCAGACATGGCGGATAAAGCGTGAAGATGATTTGTTTCGTGTATGTTCTTCCTCATTAAATACCCTTCAGCATTTAATCTCCTCTTGAACAAGACACATTCAGAGTCATCCAGAAAATCAAATTACAACAGCATCGACAGCATTCTATTCCCCATGAGGCATTTCCCCTGACAGCTTGGCCTCAGATCAAGATAAGACACGCAGACGACAATCTCTTTCATAAATCATATCGGGCGTTTCAGGCTGGTCATATATCGATCGAAAAACACAGCAACTAGTCATGATTTTTTGCCGGAATTACGTAGTGGTTTGCGACATCTCGTCGGCTTCTGGCTGCAAGCTGTTGTAAATCGCTGACCTCAGTACCGCCTTTCTGAGCGAGCCAGATCCTGATTTCTTAGAAGCCCTCATCACTTGCATCTATCACAAATCGTTGGTAGGCTTGAAGCAAGAGTCGACACTGAACACTTCGGACTCCGATTGTTTTGGGTTGTAGGCGCACCCCCGGTTAAATAGCTGTTGGATTGTTACGCAACAATGATATTGAGTCAAAGATAGTCAAGGACATTCACATTTGAAGTTGAGATAAGATCTACACAGGAGGATATACGTACAGCGTCACACTCCCCGAAAGGGGATAAGGCTCATCCTCGACACTGTGTCGAGGATGAGAGCACGAGCAAAACTGCTGGACACATCCAAATTGGGTGAGGTGACGAATGCGATGTCACACCTCACTACCCTCTCTTCTCCCAACCCCCACGACGAGCGCCCACCACGATTGGCCACGAGGACCCACCAGGATCGATGGACGACGACGAGAGCTCACTAACGTCCACGGGGCTCTCCACCAGGATCGACGAACGGCCACGAGGGCGCATCACCACCATCGACGAGGGCCCACCACCAGGATCGATGAATGGACGACCACCCACAACCACGATCGACGAACGGCCACGGGAGCTCATCACCACGATCGATGAACAGCCACGAGTGCCCGCCATGACCACCACCACCTTCAACAAACAGCCACGGGCCCACGACGATCAACGAACCGCCAATAGCTCCATCGACGATTCCACCTATCCTCCACCCCCGCTCCCTTCCCTGCAGGCCCCGCCTCACACACCCCATATCAGCGGACACAACGGGAAATCCACCCAAACACGGACGCCAGCCCAAATGCGACCGTGAACCAAACATGAACACCAGCCCGAACGCGAGTACCCCCACCACGTCCACGTCCATCAAGCGAGCCAAGACACGAGCACCAGCAATGCCTCCCAACAACCTGATGCACCGACAACGTTTGCTATTAGTACGGGGAGTCGAGGACTCAGTATCGGGGAGGGGCATGCGGCTTGGGCAGGGTAGTGTGGGGATCGCAACTTTAGATTAGCAAGGGTTATTGAAGGGGAGAGGTGGCATCCCTACCTCGCTCCTTCCAATTCCCACTTCTACAGAGTAGGTATACCTTCCCATATACATGTAGATAAGGAATATACATATTACTGCCATTTACTCGAGTACAGAAGGACTTGTGAAAAAAAAAAAAAAAGAACTGAAGTTGCGCAAATGAGCAGGCATGCGACGACATATGTTCGACACATCTGAATGTGTCGAACACATGTAAAATCGACACACTAAAAAGGGGGAACACACTGGAGTGCATCAATGTGTCGGCAATTCACCCTATGTGTCGCGTTACTACCCTATGTGTCGCTGCTTTGTATGTAGCGCGCTGATGCTAAGATGTGAGATAACACGAAAATTCAATTTTAAATCTTGAATCAATTGAAAATCCGAATATTCGTGGGTTGGGGGAAAGCTTTGGAAAATTCTCATGCATGTGCCAACTTGGATCCAAAACGCGTCGCGCTGATCTCAAGAAATTAGCACAATTCAAATCTGATACTTGTTCAACGGATGCAAATGACATCTCAGGTGTGATAAGAAAACAAGTATATTTGAAAAAATGAATTGAGTCGAGAATTCCGAAAGCTTTGAGCGTGCCGGTGTGGATCCTGGTTTCCAAGCCCCATGTGAAGGGTCTGAGAAGACAACAAGACCATACCACCATGCGCAGCTCACCACGGTCGCGTTTCTTTGAAGACACGACACCCCAACTAGAGCAAGCTGATNTAAGGCAAGTACAGAAGAAATAAGATAAAAATAGATTGATAATCTCGGCCTGATCCCTGTCCATAAACAGAACAGGGTAATTAGCAATTTTATAACTTCCACTTCTTTCTGTATGCCGACATTGACTCTTCGATGATAGAAACTCGAGATGCGGAACCCGCGCTGGACATAAACAGAGGTAAGATTGACTCTATTTTTCTCCAATAATCCATAAACGCCCTTGATTTCCAACGCCCTTGTGCTGCGACCAAATCGGGTGCCACGCCCATGAGAAGAAGGTGTGTTGCACCACCAATGCGAAAGCCATGACCTGGCATATCAGGCAGTCCGGCAGCAATCCATACCTCGTTACAACGCGCCATAAACCAGCCTTTGGTCATGGGAGACCAGCCGCCATCAGCTGTTTCGAATGAAAACAACGGTGCGTGAGATGGTATGGATTTGCTACATGCAAGATGATGTTTCAGAGCTTTGATAGGACACGAAGGGTCGTCACGGGCCGTAATGGATATGGTTGCGCCCTCGCGAAGCGTTGTCTTGGTCCATGGTATCTGACAGGTACCGTATTCCGTGCCGTTTGGCAGCATATGAAAGGTTAACGAGGTCGAACGGGCGACATGTTTGATAGGGTCAAATAAATTCCTGCTCGGAATAACGAGCTCTCCGAGACGACAGCAACACCAGAAGGCGACACATGCGATAGCCCAGACTGCCGCGTCGAACGCATGGAGAGGTCCAGGCCGTACGCAACACT